TGTGTTAAGTCTGTGCTGCTGGAGGACAGAGTTCTGGAGTCGCTGCCTTCCTGCTTGCACTGATTGACAAGTTCCCTCAGTGCCCTCTCACTGAGCCAGAGATTTACATTGTTCCACTTGTTAATGTGTCTCTAAGTCAAACTAGTTTGGAAGCACTAGTATGGGAAGCTAGTAGACACACTAGCCAGGTAAAGTACCAGCCAGAGCTCTGTGATGTTCTCACCCCCATGTACAGAGAGCGAAAGTCTTTGAAATACTCAGTCCTAAAAGGGATATCTCTATCACATTCCTTCCCTTAGGGTTCAGGGAACCCTGTAGAAGAGAAGTCAAGAGAAGGTGGAAAGAATTTTTTCCCTCCCATAACTCCTTAGAGATCCTCTCAACTCCATTGGAGAGAACTAATTTTTCACTTGTGAGTGGTTATCAACTGGAGATAGCTTCTGGGTTAGGGATGGGGCATGTGTCCACGTGATCTTTCAGCACTGGGAGCCCATCTTTCTCAGACCTATGTAGTTGGAATCTTCTTTCCTATAAGAGTTCATATAAGTGTTCTAAATAAACCCCAACACTCTTTTTGTTTGGGGGGGCTGGGTTATTGCCCCAGAGAGATCACCTATGCTATCCTTCCCTGCTGCAGTGAGTAGATCCCTTTCCATTCTTTTATTTCTTGGATGCACTTGTTTTGCTGTGTGTGTACTGAGATGTGAAGTCACAGTGTGTGATTACAAACACAGCCATAGTGGTCAGGGAGAGCAACCAGCTGCCGGTCAACAGGACAGGGTCCCTGGATGACTGCCCCAAGTGATCATGAAAATAGCAGTTTAGACCAACTGTGGACCTACCAGATACTTTCTGTACCCTACTCAGGGCATAAACTATGGCTACGCAGCTAGACTTTGAGAGGATAGAGCCTCAGATGAATAGAAATGGGTTATTTAAGTTAAAGGGAAAAAGCTAGCTGAGGTCAACACATTTCAGCACTGGAAGTTTCATTTGATGATGAGAGATGTCCAGGGGGTTCCATCTCTCCTTATTTGGCAATCTCATTTAAATCACCTTCATACATGTATACATTTTAGGAATCTCTTATAGTATTCAGTTTCCATATAACTGCTTGAATGTCCTTTAGTTTTGTTAGTTTCTCCCCATAAAAAGGTAGGGGGTACCTTTTTAATTTTCACTTATTGAATTTTTTGTTTTCTGATATTTTATTTTCCTCTACTAAAAGTTATTTATTTTCTACTGTTCTTTAAACTTACTGGTTTTGAGTTGCATCTCATATCCTTTTGCTTCTGTTTTTACTAAGCTTCTACTCTGTGCCTTAGACTTCTTTCTATGAGGACCAGGAAACCATAAATTCCATCTCTGTAAAAACCAACAACCACAACACGCAATGAAAATTACTTTTTCTTTGTCTAATTACTCTAGTTTTTTAACTCTAAAGATATTTTTCCCCAGTAAAGATATTTAACTCTTTCATATTTTTTTTTCTGACAAGAGATTGTTAATGTGCTTGTTGCTTCTTGGATGATCATTTTTCCTTGCTGTGTGCTTAAGATTTTTGCTTTGTCCTTGGCATTATGAATTTTCATTTTATCTTAAAACATACCCTGCTCTAAATTATGCATGAATCTGCAGAATCAGTTTAAGGGAATGTATGTAAAATTCTCAGTCGGGTTGTTTGATTACTGTTCTAGGTTGCGTCATCAGGAACTCCCATCACCAATGTGGTGATCACTCCCTCCCTCAGTAAGCACTCTAGGACCTGGGATCACACAGCTTCCCAAGTCAGCCTATTTGATTATGGACGCTCCAATCATTAGAATGCTCTTCCAGGCTTGGAGCAGAACTCTATTTCTCTAGAATCTTTTCTTACAAGCTCTAGTTTTGTTTTCTTAGATGATACAGACTTAGTACATTTCTTTAAGTGACAAATCCCAGATGTTTGAAAAGCCAATGCTGAGTTTTCTTTTCTTGGTGAAAATCTGAAGTTCAATGTGTATCTTTAAGGAGTTCCTTTGGCGACAATGCAGACAATACAATAATCATGCCTCATTAAAAATGTTCTGTAGAGAGTGCAGGAATCATGGACGGTAGTGCTTCTGGTGTTTGGAGAAGGAAGATGAGGTGTGAACTTTTATTGTGGAATGACTAAATTTAGGTATATAAAGGTAGGAGTCATACGCATATGATTTCATGCTACAAAAATGGGTAACTTTGCTGGGGAAAATATGCTGAAAGGTTAAGTGAGTGGGTGTTTAAAGGAAGTGTTGACAAAGTATTTTAATTATAATACTCTTTAAGCAGATACACATTTCTTGTAATTATATGTCACAAGAAGACCAAAATTTAGAGCAGGTCAGAGGCAGAAGCATCACATTCTGAACCCGCCCAAAGATGACAATAAGGCTTAATGCATGTCATCCCATCAGAACAGAGTGAATACCTGGAACAGGCTGCACCTGCAGATGATAGCACTTAGTGACTTCTGCTGACCAGAGAAAACAGGACAGAGGAGAGATAAGAAAGAACTTCTGGCAAGTTCTAAGGAGTACAGCTTAAAATGGAAGATTATCTGTGATTTGATGTTGGGTGTGGCTGTAAGTATGGTCGACATGTACACCAGGTTTCTGATCTTCAAAAAAGGGCCAATGAGTCAGTCCGTTCATGGAGGAGAAGGAGAAAATATTGACTTGCATTAAAGTTTTATTCTAAATCTAAGAGTAAGTAATGCATTATGTTTCATTTTACTTAATATTTGGTTTGATGTTGGCACAGGTCTCGTGTCAAAGGTCCAAGGCAGAGCCATTTGTTGTGACTCTAAGGAGTGATGAGGTTTGGACTGAGCATTCTCAGTTTGTTTTTCCTCAGTACATTGTAGACTGGCGGTTTCCCTAGGCTGAGGTAGATTCACAGGTGAGATTATTGTAGCCCAGTAAAAATGATAATTTGCAAAAGGTATATGTGGCTTAAAGATTATTGCCTTGAAATTCTTTTTTTAAAAAGATTTATTTATTTATTATGTATACAGAAGAGGGTGCCAGATCTCATTACAGATGGTTGTGAGGCATGTGGGTGCTGTGAATTGAACTCAGGACCTCTGGAAGAGCAGTCGGTGCTCTTAATCTCTGAACCATCTCTCCAGCCCACCTTGAAATTCTTAACTGAAGACATTAATAATGTCAAGAAGAAAGTCTGAGCTGACACTTCTCTGATTACCAGTGTGGATTCAATGAAGAATTGTATGCAAATAGAACTTGACAATCTCTTAGGTAGTCCTTTCCTCGACTGTCATAAGCCTGGAAGTTCTACCAGCCCTGAATTTGAGATGTAGTTGAGGCTTCACCAAACAAAAGTCCACCCTAGTACTGCTAATGACTCATAAAACCTGCATTTCTGGAGCTTTCTTCCCAGCTTGCAAGCAATTCCACTAGAGTCTCCTTTCTCCAGCTATTGTTTATGGCCTTTCTAGCCAGGGGCGGGGCCTTGTGAGTGCCCTTCTTTTCAGGAGCTTCCTAAGACTTTCAAGTTTCATCGTCTCCAGTGTCATGAGTTTCTCCCCACAGCATTCCCCTCCCATTTCCCTTCAGGAAGGAATGTTTCAGTGTCTGGGAAATAGCTACCCAACAAAAGGACTAATGAATGGTGGGGAACTGTTTCATAATGAATGGACTCCTGCACTCTTAATGTTCCAGGGAATCAAGACCAAGGTTGTCAAGGAAGGTATTTTTACTACAGTAAGCAGTCATTAAACCCTCTCCCTCATTTTAGCACACAAATCAGTGTAGAACATAATTTTTAAAACTTATTTTTTATTTTGAATGTATTAAGTTTACAAAAGGGCTAAAAGATTAGTGCTATGAACAGCTGCACAACTTTTGACCAGAGTCACAAGTGGTAGAAGTTCTGCCCTTGTGTTTCACTTCTGTGTTTCTTACTCTGTCCCTGCCAGTCTATTGCAAATAAAATGTACACATCATAGTACCTAACTCCTATATTTTCCTACCTCCTAGAAATAAGAACATTCTGATGCATAAACATAATATTTTTATACCACACAATATTATCATTAATTAAATAAGACCATATAATAGTAAACCTTAAAACCCCCTCATTTGTCAATCAGTGTTCAGATACTTTCATTTGATCATTATAGCACTGTAGTTCAGCTTTCATTTGGAATGGAGCTAAGATTTATTGGGAATGTTGACCTTTCTTCAATTTCATTCAAGCTAAACATTCTGGCAGCGATATTAGACTGTGATATCAGCCTTTGTACTGCATCAAATCAGGAGCTACAACATATCACGCTGACCTGTAACACTTGGACAAATAGAGCTGTTTGGTAAGTGATAAGCTGATGAATTTCAGAGTTTTCTATTGAAGAATCTTTCTTGAGGGCCCAGTGCCTGGCACTGGCTTACAATCCCAGCATTTAGTAGTAAAAGGCGTGAATATGAGGCCATTCCAGACTACATACACACTGAGTCTTAAAACTAACAACCAATCAACCAAACAACAGCTCAAACCAGCTATAATTTTCTAGGGGGTCAAGAATGGGTAAAATATTTTGAAGTCTTAGAATGTACTTTTAAGGGTTATCCCTTATTACATAGTCTCTGTGCTCTTTTATTAAATAAGGTTTATTCCTGGTTTTGGTTAAGTAAAGTTTACTTCTGGTTAATTAGTCTCTCTTGTCATTTATTAAATAAAATTCATCTCACTTTTAATTATTCCTCATGGTCATATTATATATATATATATATATATATATATATATATATATATATTACTTTTGGAATAAAATGGAAATAAATTATAACTTTTCAAAGCTCTCCTCATAAAGTCATTATTGAAGTAATTTTGTTTGCATTTAAAGATCCATTTGTGAACTAGTCTAATAAACATGTTTCCCCATATATTTAACAGATCCTATGATATACAGTTTAGATAACAATAGTTTACTCTCCAGCTTCATAAATATCTATGTCAATATGAAGTTAATGACTTGTGATATGCATGATAGCTAACATGGAAACAAAGAAAAAAATGACAACACAGATACTTTTGACCCAGAAAAGACGAGAGAGGGAGGTCTGCGATTGTTGGAGCACACGGGTTCTCAGGGGTTTGAGCATCCTTTCTCTCTGAGTGAGGATGGCTGCCCGGGCCCCAGCCCATTTCCCTGGCCCTTGTAGACGGTATTGGTAGGAGGTGCAGGGACCACAGAAAATCTCCTTGGCCAGCTTTGTGTCCCAGAGGAAGAGAGAGAGCAGGCTGGGTTTGACGCCTAACTCTGAAGCGATTTCATCCATGTAGTCGATGAACTGTACTCGACGAGAATCTCTGAAGTTTTTTGTAAAGCTGGGGTGAGAACAGAAAGACAGGAAACATCAGATTTCAGTCACTATTGTTCCCCCAAGTTTCCAGGAGAGTTTGCTTCTGTTTGCTTGTTGATTTCATGATTTTACATGGTTATTAAATCTTAATGTCATACCTTTGCTTCAACTCTCTTAGCATACTATGACCTCTTAATACATGATACAAATCCCTGAAGACTTTAAAGCTCCCAAGTACCCAGCAGAGTGACTGACATATATAAAGAAGAAACAATGAATGACCGGATGAAGTTTTTTTTAATCTATATTTCCCTTCTAGATACAGAATCCAGTTCCATGGTATGAATTAAATTAGCAAGGAATATATAAGTCACAGTGTATGAAACTCCATTGATTACTTCAAGTTTCCAAGCTACATAAACCATCTTCTCCATATGCTAATTCTGTACACAAATTCTTCCTTTGAATATTCCTAGATAATAATAAGTCACTATTTTTAGAGGACCAAATACTTGAAAAATTGAAAGCATCTCTGCAAGCAGGCACAGTGGCACATACTTTAAGTTCCAATACTTAGGAACTTCAAGGAAGTTCAAGGTCAGCCTGGGCTATATAGTGAGTTCAAGGCTAGCTTAGGCTATAATATCAGTCCCTATCTCCAAACCATCCTATCCCATCCCATTCCATCCCATCCCATCCCATCCCATCCCATCCCATCCCATCCCATCCCATCCCATCCCATCCCATCCCATCCCATCCCCATCCAAACCAAACCAAACCAAACCAAACCAGAAACCACTCTGTTGAATCACTCTTGGGTAAAAGAGACACAAAATAGAAAGTGTCACAATTTAAAAAATATTGAAACTTTTCAAAATGTTGGGAGGAGATAAATTTGTATCATATAAGATAAGCATAATAAAAAGTGAAAGAAAGTAGGCAAATAAGTTAGAAGGAAATGTTAAAATAAGGCCAAGGAGAGCAGTACTAAGGCATTTATTACCAAACTCATGGATGCAAGGGGAGAACAGTCATCATTGGTCTTGCCCAACTGTGAACCTTAGTGACTGTCAATATCTACCTGCCAGGCAAACTATGTCCACTGGTACAGTAGCAGCAAGACTGTTGTGGGGGTAACCAGTCACCCTCTGATGGGATCTGAGGTCTGCTTCACAGGAAGAAATTCATGCCTCATACTATAAACCCAGTAAAAACCCCACGACTGCAAAGTTTTGGGGCAGTAGGAGAGAATTTACTATTGTGTAGTTAAGTTTGTGTGACTCCAAACCACCTTCTAAATATTTATGTTTATACTCATTAAATAACACCACTACTCTCCGCTTTAACTGAACAGTTTCTCTTTGTAACGAGTGATGATGAATTCAGAGCCTCATGGTGCTGAGGATAAAGGATAGCTAAGTGTTCGGCCCTACACAGGGCATTTGTACTACCCATGATAAGGTTCAGAGAATACCAAGGAAGAGAGGAAAGAAGGAATGCAAAGCCAGAAGATGAAGAGAAGGGCTGCCAAATGCTGTCTTCTGGGTGTCACAAACCCTTCTTTGCTCTGCCATTTAAGTTTCTTTAAAATTATACAGGGTTCCATGGGTGCCTTCTCACGTAAGTATATATGTGCTTTGAGTGTGTGACCCCCCGACCTCACTACCCTTCACTTTACTTCCCCACACTGCCATTGGTCCCCACAGTCACCCAGATTTGTTTGATTCTATTTTCATGTCACCAGTGCAGATTATTTTATGTATCTGTAATGTCTAGGGCCCACAAATGAGAGAAAAGTGCAATACAACATCTTTTTCATTTATATACATGTTCTTGCAAATGATATAACTTATTTTTGCTTAGGACTAAAACTCCATTGTGAATACAACGTGCAGTTTTTGCTATCCTCCTGGATACCTGCATTGTTTCCCTAACCTAGCTACTGCGAATAGGGATGCAATAAATACTGATGTGCAGCTTGACTTTGTGTTGACCTGGAGTCTGGGAGAAGTGCTATATCTGGTAGGGCTATGTTTTTTTTTTTTTTTTTGAACCTCTGTTCTTACTTCCATAGTAGGAAATAGGAATTGCAGGAATTGCATTCTACTCATCATGTAGACTTGATGTTGTGTGGTTATTTAACATGTCATGTCAGATTTATGTTCCACAATCAGATCCGTGTTTAAAAAACTCAGCATGATATCACTGAACTAAGATGATCTCATTAGGGCTCATGCAGATTATGACTATAAAAACAAAATCAAATATCCGCCTCTGAACAGGTTTTGTTTATTTTAACAAAAAAATTAAGTTTCTTACTTTTTGGTCATTTTTCGTCTTTTTCTGTCGATGTCAGCCATCATGTCTTTCTTTGAGGGCAACTTTTTCAGTCCTGAGAAAACAAGATAGAGACATTGGAGAGTTGGCATGAGGACTAAAGTATACAAATAAATAAAAAGAATGGTTTTGAAACAGAATAGAATCATCAGGCCTCTATAAAGTTTCTAGTCAAAGCCTTATGTTTAATGAATTTCAAAGGAAGAGAATTTTCTTTCCATCATCATGCCCAGGATGTCAGGTAGGCAATTCAGCTTTCCCTTTAAAATAAATAGATGTTTAATTTCTTCTTAGGTTAAATGTACACTTAACATCCCTGAGTACTATGAATGCTCTAAACATGTCTTATAGTCTTCCAAAGATCCCCAAACTATCCTGGGACCTGACTCAAAGTTTCTCTTATCTGAACATGGCTTAGCACTGAGCTTACATCCCAAACACAATTTTTCTGTCTTTTGCGTTAAGAACATCCCTTAGTTTTCATTGTGTATTCTGAAAGTATACATTGAAGGAAAATGCCCTCAAACTGCAATAGCTACATTTTGAAAGGAGAGCAAGTAATTGCATACAGAAATTCTGTATGTGTGAATGTGTCAGGGACAAGGAAGCTACAACAAACAGAACGTTAAATAACGCTAGGGAGGCAGGACAAAGAGGACTAGGTACGCTGCTTAGAAATGATCTGCCTCGTTGCTTCACCAGGTGTCACATATCTGTTAGTATCTGAAAAAATATGGCCTTTGTACAAGTACCTTCAAATTTTTCAAAATACATTTCAAATATGAGTGTGCAAAGCATGAAAGGAACAGAATTGGAGAACTGAAAGGTCATGTAGGACTTTAAATTACTACTGTACACATATGCACATCTTGTGAAACATCAGTTATTCTTCAACAAATATACCAAATGGATATCTGCATATATTCTATGAAATACATGTGCAAGTTTGCCCAGGCATCATTTGTTTATAATAATTATATAAAAACACTGCAAGGCAACTCTCCTGAAACTGACTTTGATTTCATTCTACTAGCAAATTTGTTTTGCCCAGAAGCATTAATTTGGGTAAAGACTTGGGAAACAAATCAAGAATATGATTGGAGTTGGTCAGCAGAGTAAAATGACTTCACTACATTTCTGAGATGTGTCCTAAGTGGTTTGTCTCTTATTTGTTTTCTAACCTAATTTATATTTCCATAAAACCTCTTCCTAAGTTAGGTTTCTGCTGAAAAGTAGCAGATGAATTAAAATAAAACCTCATTACAATTTTTTTGGTTTATAATTTTTATTATTTGGGTGTTGTCATTTTTAGTAGAATTCTCTTAAAAATGAAATATCCTTCAGAAGAACCCAAAATGGTTTATTAAATTAATTTAATTTATTTATTTTAATTCTTTTGTTTTTTGTTTGTTTTTCCCCAGGAGCTGAGGACCGAACCCAGGGCCTTAGTGCTTGCTAGGCAAGCACTCTACCACTGAGCTAAATCCCCAACCCTTGTCTTGGTTTTTCAAGGCAGGGTTTCTCTGCATAGCTCCGTCTGTTCTGGAATTCACTCTGTAGACCAGGCTGGCCTGTGGACCTACCTGCATCACTGCCTGGCTGTAGTAGTTTATTTTTAATGGTGGAATTTCAAACAATTTGATGTAATGAGAGCGATCAACAGAAGACCTCTTGGTGACTCTTAAATCACAGAGCATTTGGAACATTCTGACTTCGTGGGGAGATCAGTACATACCTGTGAACACACGCACAACCCATCGGCTTTGGAGCTCGGAGGTGGGGATGACAGCTCCAGCAGGCTGGAGGATGCCAATGAAAGCTAGGGTTGGCTTCTCCAACTCGGGAGGGAAGACGAACTTAAACATGGAGTACTGGCTGTCCAGGATGGTCGGGTCATCATTCAGGAAAGGGAAGGACAATGTGTAGCCTGTGGCAAAGATGGCAACGTCTATGTTCTCTTCAGTTCCGTCCTCAAAGATGGCCGATGTTGAAGTGAACTCTTTCACGTTTGGTTTTATCTGCACTTTTCCAGTAATGATACGGTTTGGCAGGTCGTCACTGAGAACTGTCCGGTGGTCAAGAATTCTGTGTCAAGAGATGAGTATACAACTTCTTAATAAAAAGGTAGTATAGGCAAAAGCTTTGGAAATGGTTGCGTAGCTTCAATAATTTTTATTCTGCTTTTCCGCATCCTCAGAAGGCCATGTAGCTCATTAGTCAAGCCCTGATTTTCTGATTCAGAACTGAACCCTGATGCTTGCTCAGTCTCTTACCCATTGGGAGACCTTTGGATAAACCATGAGACATTTTAATTTCGCTTTCTTAATTAGTAGGACACCAATAAGGACACAACACCATGTAAGATTTGCTAATACATACTAAATTTCTTTAGATAATAATATTTTTACAAGGAATAAGGTGTATTAATTGTTTATTGAGACAAAGATTCACTATGTAGCCCTGGCTGGCCTGGAACTCATTTTGTAGCTCAGGTTGCTCTTGAACTCACAGAGATCTACCTGTCTCAGCCTCCCAAGTGATTGAATTAAATGTGTATGCTACAAAGTATGTTAATTTTTGATGTATTTATTTGTTCTTGATACTAGGTAAACTCAGGTGACATTAACTAGTCATTAATATTTTCTTGCATTTATTGACTTATTACATTTATTTACTTATTTACTGACTTACTTACGTGTGTGTGAGAGCATGTAGAGGTCAGGGGACAACCTATGGAAGCTGATTCTTTCCTTCTACCATGTGGGTTCCAGGTTCAGGTTGTCAGGCTTGGTGACAAGTGCCTCTATTTGCTGAACTACCCGGCCAGCCCTAGTTGCTAAGATTGTTAAAGACCTAATGAATGAATCTTCAATGAGAATGTTTGTGATCAGTGACACTGAGACCTTTGGTAAATTTCAGTTTAAGGTTTGAGCTATGAATTAGCAGCAGGGAGTCACATTCCCAGGGTACATTAGTACAAAAGTAATATTATTAAACCTATTTCACAGGTTGTGGATAATTTCTCCATAAAAAGGAACTTGTAGTCATATGTATGATCTGAGTTAAGCAAAAAACTATGTATGCATTCTTCTAGGTATCTGTTAATATTGATTTTATATTTTCATTAATTCAAACCTTCATTATATTTTTCCTGGTATTAAAAATTTACATTTATTTATTTATCTGTGTGTGTGCACATCAAGCGCACCACAGTGTGTGTGTGTGTGTGTGTGTGTGTGTGTGTGT